TCGTGGGATGTTGCTTTGCTTGCTCCATTCCCCCACTAACATCCCTGGCATGAGTCCTTCTCCCAGCCCACAGGGAGGTCCTCTATCCCCGTCGCTCTAGCAGGGTCTCCCTCCCGCCTGCCTCCAGCCCTGCTCACTGCTGTGTGTCCGGGTTCTGCCTCTCACACTGAGATGATTATCTTGTTTATGAGCCCAGCTTCATCTTATTGGATTTCTCCTTTTGTTTTTTTTTTCCCTGTCTTTATCTCTGGCACACTTCTCTATGTGAGTTTGTGGACCCTTGTTAATGGAAAATATTACTTTAAAGGAAGGAAGGTGGAGAGATTTGGAGGGAACGCAAGAAAGGATACTAGCATGATATGTGTTTTCCTATGTCTCAGAATCGTGCACAGGGTAGGTGAGCGGAAGACAAGGGCAGTGGCCCCGTCCTTGGACTCAGCAGGGCAGGCAGTCCGTTCTATACCCGGAACACATGTCTTTGGCCTGGGCATGGATGAGGACTTAAAGTAGGAAAGGTAGTGGCTGTGATGACCCACCCCCCTGCTCTGAGTGTCCTTCAGCTAACACTGGCCAAGTGCTTAGAAATTGCCGGGCACTCGGCTGATGTGGAAAGAGGGGCTGTTAACCCCGGTACTCGAGGAGCAGAGAGATTCACGCGCAGGAGCTTGCGTGCCTCCCCAGCATCCTCTAGCTCGTGAGTGCCAGATTCCCCTGCTGTCTGGCCACAAGGCTCCCTGCTCCCATATAGCTGGCACATTCTGTTTCCCATGCCACCTTCCCCCCCGCCCAAGCTGGCTGGTGGCTGTCTCCCAGACACACTATGGCCACTCCACAGGGAGACTGAGGACCCTGGTCTGACCGCCTCCGTGTCTCCAGGAGGCTGTCCAGCCGCCAGCAGCTGGGCACAGGCTGAGTCCAGGAATGGCCAAGGCTTTTGGGCTTTGCTGGCCCAGAGGTCACCAGCAGCAGGCCTGCTGGCCTGGGTGGCTTTATGATTCACTGGGCCCTTGACCTTGACATCTTTGGGGCTGTCTTGTGCTCTGCTCCAAGGGATGGGCCATGGGCTCAGAGTTCTCAAAGAGCCCACCTCCCACATCAGTCTCCACCACATCTCCCTGTCGCCTCCTGACCTTCCTATTTCTCTGTCCTCCCCGAAGTGAGCTGCGTGCAGCCAGGGTCCCTGTGTCTCTGTGGGAGGATCCCCATCAACTGTTAAAATGGTGGCCCCTGCAAGCTGCTAATTGGATAGTGAGTGAATTCGTGAATGAATGAGTCAAGTGTGATGCAGCTGCCTCAGCCCTGATTCTCCCATTGAAAATTCTTGCAGCAGGAGGTTCACCTTTCCTTGACTGTGGAAAGGATGTATGCTGGAGACACATACAGTCACTCAGAGCCAACTGTGGAACTGTCCAGAAAAGCAGCCCTTGGATCTCTGCCTCCACATCACTGTGTGAGCACCCTGACAGGGTGCGGGGATGGGAGAGCCACGCCTGGGAAAGCACAGACATACCCAAGCCCTGTGCGTCGGGTTCTCAGCTACTGAGAGCTCGTGGCCGCCAGTGGCAGCCCCGACACTGGACAGCCTCATTTGTGTGATAATGGTCCTGCCCCAGCTCATCACAGCTCAGGTGGATAGGTCTGCTGCGGCTGCCACAGAAACTGGCCTGTTCCCTTGGGGAAGCCTGGCTGTGCTGACCAGGCCTCTCCACCCGAAGCAACAGCTCACTCTGCTGACGGCCCCTGGATTCTTTCACTTAGTGTCAGGAGCTGCGGCAGCTGCATACCCGACAGCCGGGCTGCTTTGGGTAAACAGAAGAGTACAGACAAGCAGAAGCCCTGGGATATCCCAGGTACGTCCTCTCTGCCCAGCGATGCTGGGGGCGCTGCTCAGCTTCTGGGGGTTCCTGGCATGCAGAGGACTTCCCCACAGCAGTCTTTGGTCTGGTGCTTGAAAATCTAAGATTGTCATGACTGAGGGGCCGACTTTATTCCCACCCTGCCTGGTGTTATGCTTAGCATGTGTAAGCACTCCTTGTGTTTCCGTGCAGCCTGCCTGCCCGCATCACTTTGGTGGTGTCACCCCCGATTGGGCAAGGTCATGTCTGAGATGAGGCCGTCAGCCCCCCACTTGGCTGAAAGGCTGACACTGACATTTCCAGGTCTGCATCAGGAAGCAAACTCAGGATGCAGCCCCAGTTTTCGTATGGGGAATGGTGTTCTTTAGGACAGCTGCTCGCACCTCGACTCCGGAGTGGCACCTGGGGATGGGAGAGTACCCAGTTGTCTAGGTTGTCCAATTCTAGTTCCTGGAGTGCTGGCAGCAGGGTAGGGCAGAGCCCATAAGCTCATCTGGAGCAGTCCTGCTAGGATTCCCTTGCATGCCCAACAGCAAGAGCCACTGGTTGGAGTTCTCAGACTGACTTGTGTGGCTGTCGCCCCTGAGGTATCTCTTTTTAATGAAATCAAATTTTAGAATGTTTAATATATATGTTTGTATTGGAAAAGACCCTCACGTTTTAAAGGGTTTTACATTTACAGGGAAGTTGGGAAGCGGACACTGACCTGGACGTACACACTGATGTAGCAGTTCTGACCTGTGTTGCACACCTGCGTGTCAGTACTGTCGTGTGCACGGACACTTCAGTATCAGTACTCCCAGTGTGTGCACGCGCAGTGTGCATTCATGCCAGCTGACGTACGTACACTGTGTACGTAGACTCTTCTGTACACAATCATTTGTACCTGTGTTAAACTCAAGTTTGCTGTGATGACTCCAGCTAAGATTTCCTCGTCCCCTGTTGAGTACCTTGGTCATTCCCCAGTTCCAGTTCCTGGCATAGCTTCCTGCATTTCAGGCTCAGGTGAGCAGTGGTAATGACTTAAGCAGTTAGACTCCTGCCACCCACCCAGGAACCTGGTTTGCATTCCTGACTCTGGCTGTGAACTGAGCCCAGCCCCAGCTGCTGCAGACATTTGGAGGAAGAAATAGTGGGTGGAGAGAGCTCTCTCTACGTCTCAAATGAAAAGCAAAAAATGGGAGCCCAGTGTAATAACCTAGTGGCTAAACCCTCGCCTTGTATGCACCAGGATCCCGTATGGGCACCAGTTCATGGTTTTAGAAGGCAGTGTAGGATGGCTGAAAGGATTGGGACCCTGCACCCATGTGGGAGACCCAGAAGAAACTCCTGGCTTCTGGCTTTGGATCAGCTCAGCTCTGGCCACTGAAGCCACTTGGGGAATGAACCAACAGACAGAAGATCTTTCTCTATTTCCTTCTCTCTGTATATCTGCCTTTCCAATAAAAATAAGTAAATCTTTTTTTTTTAAAGTAACAAAGATGCTGAGCCTTTCATCAACACAGATTACTTTTTCATTTAATTAGATCTATTCATACTTCTCGCATCACAGCTTTGTAGTTTTCCACATGTAGATTCTGTGCTTACTTATTTATTTTTATCCCCAAGCATATTCTATTTAGGGTGCTACTGCAGATAGTATTATCTAACAAAAGTAAAATTTCAATCATTATTAGCACATGGGAAGCCATTGGGTTTTTTTTTTTTTTGTATGTTAATCTTGTGTACTTGTCTTGTCTTGCTGTATTTGCTTATTAGTTCCACAAGTGGCATTTCTTTCTTTAGGCTCCTTGTACTTGTCACAGAGATGATGTTGATGTCTCGAAATGAGAGTCATTTTCTGTCCCCCTTTGCAGGCCCTGGGACCTTTTACTTCTTGCTGTTATGCGCTCGCTGGCATTCGGTGTCTCGCCACGCAGTGTCATGCTAGCTGGCAGTGTCGATCGGGTCGAGGGCGCTCCCCTCTGCTGGGTTTTGTCAGAGGCTTTTGCTGCACTGACTGGTGTGATTGCAAGGCGTTCCTGCCTGTGGGCAAGGTGCTGACCAGCGACTCCTCGTGAGGTTGGGCTCGGCATGCCTGTTCTTCTGATTCTTTCCCGGAGAAGTGGCCTTCCTTGCTTCCATAAACATTTGATGTGACTCCTTGGGGGCTCGTGTGTGACTTTTTTAAGGAAATGACGATTAGTCATTGATTCTGTTGCCTTAATACAGAGAGACCAACTCAGATAATGCAGGTCTTGTGTGCACTTTTCAAAGGTTTCCTCTTTCAAGGAAGCAACCCTTTCATCTGAGTTGGACACAGAGTTGTTCATAGTGTTTCGTCATTCTCCTTTTCATGTTCCTAGGATCAACCACGAAGACCCCTCTTTCATTTCTGATATTGGTGGTTTGCATTGTGTTCATTTATTTCTTGGCTCCAAGGGTTTTCAAACTAGCCAGTTAAGCCTCTTGCCAAACTCAGTTCGGAGCTTCAGACTGAGCCCCGACGGAGCTCCCATTGGAAGATGGCAGCTTGAATGTGCTGTCTCTTCAGAGCGCCTAATGTTGGCAAGCCGGAAGCTGGAGGTTCTTGGAGATGTCAGAAGCCCTGCGGTCATTTTGTTATTAGTGTGGTTTTACAACCAGGCTGCTCTGTCCACTTGAGGATGCTAAATATGAAACAAAAAAATCAGCTACAGCCACTGTAGCTGAGTGGAGAGGGGAGGCCCCTGCCTGCCTTGTGTTCGCTGCCCTCATGTCAGAGCAGCCCCCTCGAAATCATGGGGACCAGACCCCTTCCCTGGTCCTCATGTGGAAGGTGAGGATGCCTTGAACTGCTGTTGGTGGACAGGCTGGTAGCGCTGTTGGTGCTGTCCCTGCCACTAAGGCACTCCTCAGTGGCCGGGGCTGCCTCCCAGGTGTACAGTGGTCCCTTTGATAAGGAATCCAAGCAGAAGCCAGAGGTTCTCAGGCTCATGCATGGGACGGAAGGGTCAGGACTGGTGGGGTCCCTTTCTGAGCACCCGTAGAGTCCTGGGGAGTGCACAAGGAGGGTGCCAGCAACATCATGGCTTTGCCAAGCAAAGCCTCAATGTTCTCTGACCACATTCTTCCCTGATCATGGCCCCGGCCCAGTTTCTGACGTTGTCTGTCTGATTTTGGAAGGCTCGGCTCTGACCAACGGGGCGTTGAACCTGCACAGCTCTGTGAAGCGGAAGATGGACTCAGAGAAGGACTACGTCTTCGACAAGAGGCTCAGGTACAGCGTCCGCCAGAACGAAAGCAACTGTCGGTTTCGAGACATCGTTGTGCGGAAGGAGGAGGGGTTCACGCACATCCTGCTGTCCAGCCAGACCTCAGACAACAACGCGCTGACACCCGAGGTAAAGGGGTGCTGGGTGAGCAGCGCTGTGGGGAGCCAGGCATCCCTGAAGCTGAGAAGGGGATCTCAGCTTTCCCTCTTGTTCTGCCAGAGAGCTGCTGGCACGTGGCTGCTGGACACGGCTTGCTGACAGTGCACATTGTCCCATTCGATCTTGGTGACCGGGCTGCGATACCCTCCTGTCGTATAGACTACAGGCTACAGAGATAGCCAGTCTTAAAGCTGGTGGGAAGCCCAGGAGTTAGAGCATCCTGTCCTCACCTTGTGCGCCTTGTGTGGCCGCACCTCACTGTCATCAGCCTGTCACGTTTCTTTGCTTTAGATTAAATGATACACCCTCGGTTCACTTACCTGAGGAGCCTTTACAAAGTTCTTGGAAAAGGCATACTGTAGGAAAGCTATGCCTGTATTCCAGCCTTTTAGTACCAAAATTGTCTCTGAAGTACATTTTTTTTCCATGAATTCTTTGAAGTATCTTAATATATCCTTTCTTCAAATTCCCATACCACTAGCTTCACCCTGATAAAATGTATACTTTGTTGACTTTTGTCCATACAACCATTACCACTGGCTGATTTCTGGAATGGTTTGTTTCCTCGGGGAGGAAGCCTTCAGCCTTCGGTCATTCTCCTTCCCCCCGACCTCGGCAGCCACACCTTGACTTTGGGAATCCTCAGCTTTTCTGCTTTTGCACCGTCGCTAGCCGGGCAATCGGGCACTGTGTGGCCTTTTCTCTCCTTGCCCCCTTCCCCGAGGGTGTTTTCCCACTTCATCCATTTTTGCAGCAGGTGTCAGTTCTTCATTCCTTTCTGTGGCTGAAAACTATCGATCAGCATCTCAAGTTGACGGACATCTGGGTAATCTGATTTTGTCTGTTATGACTGTGATGAGTATAGAAATGCATATCGAAGTTTTAATTTGAATGTGTGTTCTCCGTGTTCTTGGAAATATTCCTAATCCTAGTAGAGTTTTCTTGCCGTTGCTGGGTCACTTGGTCACCATGTTTTTGACTTTTGAGGAATAGCTGTATGGTTTCCACAGTAGATGCTTCATTTTCCATTCCCATGGTCAGCATCTTCAGGCTGCAGTTCCCTGCAGCCTACCTGCTCTTCTGTCCTGTCTTCTTGATGGTGGCCCTGAGAGTGAGCGTGGGAGGACGTAGCCTGATGCTCTCTTAAACCAGTTCTATAAAGGAAACACATTTCATGTGCTTCATGTACACAGCTTTAAGAGCATAATGACACATCTCGCCCTGTCTTCCTTCCCTCCGTCCCTTGTGACTCAGGACACTGAACCTCTTGTCATGTCCATGTGAATATTTGTCTTACTTCTTTGGACAAATGCCTCTGTAAATCCATGACTTGTTTTGGATTGGGTGATTTCTCTTTTTATTGTTGAGTTTTAAGCATTCTTTATGTATTCTGACAGTAGATCCTTATCAAAAAAAAAAAAGTAGGTTGTCCTTTTACTTTCTTCACAGTTGCCTTTGACACATAAATCTTTTTCACATTACTTCTAAAGTGTTAACTTCTTAAGAAACCACCAGTACTTGGTGTGATTAAGCAGACAACTTCATCAAAACACAGGATCCTGGGGGAGCCTTGGAGAAATTGTTGATGATACAGATGTGAGCAACTTCCTGATCATTCCCTTTTACTAAACCCTCCTGGGACAGGATAGAAAAGCAGGGAAGGACCAAAACTTAATGAATTAATGTAAACATGACAGATAGGGAAGGAGCAGTTTTCAGGGTTTTATAGAAGGGAATATCAAAAAACTTATAAAGTGAACAAAGAGAAACAAAGAACAACTATGAATTTGATTACACTGTCTTAGTGTTCATCTTTGGACTTTTCTGGTTGCTTTGAGTTTTGATGTGACTTGTGAATCAACTTGCTAATGGCTCTTGGGTGTTTCTTGTTGGTCAGAAGCCAGCTACTAAGTCCAGCCCTCCCACATGGGTAGGGCATTATAGAAGGGTTCGCTTTTGGGAGGAAGGGCTCCATGGGCTATTGAAGAGGCTGCAGAAGACAGGCTTAGCTCACACGGAGCTGGGACAGCACGAGGATGAGTGAGCTCTGCAGGGGCACTGTTCAGAAGCATCGGCCCAATGTGTCAAGAGAACAGGCAGTTTGCTTCCAGCCCAAGAGAGCAGGGGGCAGCTCTCTGCAGGATGATGTGCTCAAGCCTGGCCTAGTGCCTGGATCTCAACAGACCCTGACCAAGTGCAGAGGAGGGCCCTGGCCAACAGCTGTGGACCTTTGGTCCTAGCAAAGGTAGCTACCTGTTCCCAGTTCAAGGCAGATCTGAATCTAGGAGCCATGCGACAGTGTGCTGATTCCGGCAGATGCCAAAGGCAAATGGCAGCCAGAAAGCCCACAACGGGGGAGATAGGCTTAAAGGACGTGGTTAAGACTTGAAAATGCAGAGTAATCTGCAGCCATTTGTTAGAGGTGCATGCCCTGGAAGCCACCCAGGGGGAATGAGTTGTATAGACCAGTAGGTGACCATTGAGAAGTACAGGTAAGCAATGTAATCTGTTAAGATGGCTAAATATTGTACCTAGATTTTAGCACATTGTGCCGCACAGAAACCACCACCATCACAGGATTTGGGGGCCTGAAAGAGCGGAACTTAAATGTGCATGTCCGTATTGAGTTCTCAGCAGCAGCAGGCTCAGGAAAGCTGATGGACTAGATAGATTCTCCCCTGCTGCCCCCCAAGAAAAAAAAGTGCAGTTTGTACTTGATTGTATCAATAAAACACCAGTGTACTTGAGATTTTATTGGCGTAGGAAGTGGCTGCCTTGTCTGGTCTGGTTTTTACTCCGCCACGAGTCAGTTGGCCTCAGAGAATTGAGGCTCACTGCTTTATCACGGGATTTTCTTTGATTTGTCTCTCAGAGACACGGAGTTCGCATACGGAGGAGCGCATGTCTATTTCTGGAGGCAGGTGGATTAAAGGAGCTGAGGGATCACAGCTCGCTCACTTTTGTGACGCCAATAACCATCTTTGTGGCTCGCAGCTGCTACTGTGGGGTGAGCGCACGCATGGAGAGTCTCACTCTAGAGTGATGCCTCATCCTCCTTTTGCTGCTCAAACCCCTCCATGTATTTAGCTGCAGGTAGGGGCTGTTGGAGCAGAACGGAGAGTGGAGTCCTGGCTCTTCCTTTTTAGAGTCCTTGTTGCTTCACCTACAGCGTTGCAAATTCCATCCTGCACTTCACAGGAATTGTGTCTGGAATAAAATATTGGGCAGTGAACTGATAAGACACCTAGTATTTCTATGTGCTTATTAATAAATGGGAGTTCTGGACTTGTCACGGTAGCCTAGCGGCTAAAGTCCCTGCCTTGCATGTTCCAAGATCCCATATGGGCACCGGTTAGTATCCCAGCTGCTCCACTTCCCATCCAGCTCCCTGCCTCTGGCTTAGAAAAGCAGTAAAGGAGGCCCAGGCCTTGGAACCCTGCACCCATGAGGGAGACCTTGGGCATCGGATCAGCCCAGCTCCGGCCATTGCAGCCACTTGGAGAGTAAACCAGCGTATGGAAGATCTTTCTGTATTTTCTTTTCTCTGTAAATCTGACTTTCTAACAATAATTTTGAAAAAGAATAGATCTTTGAATCAATAAGTGGGAGTTCTTTTAAAAGTGGAACCTAAGAAACAGTACTCCCACAGCATGTGCGCTGGTGCTTCTGGTGTTGTTGCAGAGTCCGCTGAAGACAACACCATCTAGGCAGCTGCTGTGCCTTGCTCTCCATTCCCAAATGCGTTCCGCACTGATTTTTCTCCTGCCCTGACCTGTTAGATGGAACAGGTGGGCTTTCCTTAATCCCCCCATGCGCTGTAGTTTGGGCATTGTAGAGGTCATCCTGAAACTATGAATCCACGGCAAACTCTCAATGAAGCTGTTGCCTCTAGGCTTCCCCTGACCCGTCCCCCGGTCCCCCGCACTGTCTGCCTCCAGCTCTTCCTCTGGTCGTGGCCTGTGATAGTGTCCCCTGCTTTGCACAGCCATCGCCCTCACATTAGGCAATGCCAGTGTTTTGATTTTTGTGGTCAATTTTTATCTTTTCATCTTTAAAGATTTGTTTGTGTGTTTGAAAGGCAGAGACAGGGAGAGATCTTTGATCCACTAGTTTAGTTCCCCAGTGGTCTGGGTCAGTGTGAAGCCAGGAGCCAGCAAGTCCATCTGGGTCTCCCATCTGAGTAGCAAGTAGCCAGTCACTTGGACCATCATTTGTTGCTTCTCAGACGCTTTGGCTGCAAGCTGGATCTGAAGCAGAGGCAGAATTTCATACTAGGAACTCCAACACAAAATGCAGGAATAGCAGCCACCCCTGGTAGTTCTTGAATTTGGGGATTTGAGTCTGTGATGGACGGAGCAAAGCTCGCTCCACAAAGTGGTTCACATCCTGATGTGCAGACCTCGTGGGTAGGGTAGGTTGTGCGAGAAGCTGGGATTAAGGCTGTTTAATGAGTGACCCTGAGATTAAGAGCGTGCTGGGTTATCTGCAAGAGACATGTAGTCACAGGAGGCCAGCAGTAGTGCCTAGGGGGAGGCAGCATTGTTGGTGTCAAGAGCGTGCAAAGTGAGGAAGACTCAGCCAGCCACTACTGCGGTAGAAGGTGACCGAGGCAGGTGGATGGCTTTCACAAACTGTTGAGGCAAGGAAATGGATTGTATCTTCGAACTCCAGGGACATAGCCCTGCTGGCACCTTGCTTTTGGCCCAGTGAATGCATCATACTCGTGACCTCAGAACTGTTAAGAACACATATGCGTTTTTGTAAGTTATGGAGTTAGTGGTGATTGACCATAGCATGCATCCATTTTGCCTGTTTGTGTGTTCTCTGTCCCCTGTTTCCTGGGGTCTTTGATTCAGCTGCCACAGCCCCTGTTTTAAATCTCCATGTCCTACCCTTGTGCCCCTTCACCTCCTGTTCACGTTTTCCATCTTGGATTTCTGTGTTCTAGATCCAGAGCAATTGCTTCAGATCCATCAACTTGTTCTCCCCCAAGCTCCATCTACTCTGAAGTTCTTAGCAGGGGCCTGGGACTTTCTTGTTTTGAGTTTTTTTCATCCCTCCATCTAATTCTCCCTTCTGCCCCACACATTCTCCTGTTCTTTATGCTTCCTTTCCTCTCACTGATGGTCATGCACATCGTTGCTAGGTCATTCTGTGACACAAGGTTATTACATAATCCTCTCATTTGTTGTGTGTGCTGCTTTGTATTTCATCCATCTTCACAGGGATCATTGTCCTGTATCATTCTCAGTCCACCTGGGTCATGGTCTTTTTCCAGAATACTCTCATATTCTTTTCTATCAGGTACTACAAGGATATCTCAGCCCATGTCTAATTTCCAGGACTCCTCCCTTTGGGTGTATGATAACTTGGAGCTACAAATCAACATACAAGGCAGGCTTGCCATCTCACTTTCCCATGAGATGAACAATCATTGGAGCATTTTGTCCTGGTGGTGGTATCCATAGCAGGTGGCAGAGGGTCTGTGCTCCAGATGCTATGTGCCCCAGTTGGGAGGCTGTAGCCCTCACTGCCTCCTAGTAGGATGCCAGGCCTACCCCTGATACAGTGCTCTGGGTCTTATTGCTTATGTGCAACAACCTGAATTTGTCTCCTAGATTTTTCCCCCTCATCTTTTCCATCCTATCTACTCAGCCAGGATAAGGTCACAGAGTGATTCCATTCAGGTAGTCAAGGTCTGTATGCAGGAGACAGGAGTGTCTCTTGCCAGGGTGACAGGTGGCAGACAGTCCATCCAAGCAGAAGTGAGCCTTGGTGGCCTGAAGACGGGGAGTAAATGCTCTTGTCCAGAACGTGCCTTGCCTTGTAGGATGCAGGTGAGGCTGCAGGTGGCCTCAACATTGTCCTTGGTTTCCACTGCAGCCCTGGAAAGCAGGTGCACCAAGGCTTCATTTATGGATGAGGAGATGGAGTGTGACCCTCGTGTCCCAGGCCCCAAAAGGTCAGAATTTGTACCTGGGGCTCGCTTCTTCAGAGCCGGCCTTTGAACTCAGACATGGCTCTAATGCCAGCATCGGCTTACTAGGTGCTATCTACAGCCCACGGGAATCTTAACCAGATTAAGAAGGAGCAGGAGTGTAATTAAATGGAAACAACTGGAGAGGGCTTGCCAGCTTCCCTGAGGTTGCATGTGGGATGATTCTTTTGTGCCTTATAAGGGGCAAAGAGGCCAAGCCAGGCTCCTAGACCCAAGCCAGTGACTTCTACAACCTCTGTCTGCCTTGGGGAGGGCACCTGGACCCTGGCTTGCAGTAGTTCTTTGCTTGACTTGAACACATGTTTGTGCACAGGCAGAAGCTGGCTTGTGTTTTGACAGCGCTGGGCTTCCAGGGCTGACGTTCACCCCCACTTTCCCAACAGATCATGAAGGAGGTGCGGCAAGCACTGTGCAATGCCGCCACGGATGCTGGGCTTCCAGGGCTTATGTTCACCCCCTCTCCCCCAACAGATCATGAAGGAGGTGCGGCGAGCACTGTGCAATGCCGCCACAGATGACAGCAAGCTGCTGCTGCTCAGTGCTGTGGGTAGCGTGTTCTGCAGTGGCCTGGATTATTCCTACCTGATCGGCCGGCTGTCCAACGACCGCCGGAAGGAAAGCACCCGTATCGCTGAAGCCATCAGGTGAGCCCGGGTCCCCCTGCCATGCCTCCGCTGAATCAGAACTTTAAAATGAGAACAAGTTGCTGCTTTTTAGCCTCAGTGTATCCCATGGGACAGCCTTAGAGTAAAAATTATCTGAAATTCAAAATTTAATTGGGCATCTGTATTGTATCCCATTCTCTCCAAATTAAGGGTGCTATTCCCCTTCCTAGGTTAGCTCTCACATTCATTCTTTGAATCAAAAAGAGTTCATGGGCCCTGCATGGTAGCCTAGTGGCTAAATCCTTGCCTTGCAAGCACCAGGATCCCATATCAGCCTCAATTCATGTCCTGGCTGCTCTACGTCCCATCCAGCTTTTTGGCTATGGCCTGGGAAAGCAGCAGAGATGGTCAAGCCTCAGGACCCTGCATCCATGTGAGAGACTCAGTAGGAACCTGTGGCTCCTGGATTTACATTGGCTCAGCTCTGGCCATTGGAACCACTTGGGGAGTGAAACAGCAAACAGAAGATATTTCTTTCTCTCCTTCTCTTTGTAAATCTGCCTTTCCAATGGGCGAGGGAACGTGTGTTGCCTGTGGAGTCACCGAGCCTCAGGCCATGTGTCAGGGGATTCTCGGAGCCTCTGGGGCTGCTGCATGAAGGTACAGCACTGAACTGTCCCATCTCTGCATAACGTGCTGGCACCCTGGGATCCTCTGGGGTGTGTTCCTGAGGGGCCTGGCTCTGTAAGCTCATCTGCAGAGTGGCAGCTGGCAGCATGACGATCCTGGCCTCATGGCAGGTTGATAGGAGGAAGAGTCATCAAGAAGCTAGCCTCCTGACAGATGTCCCATGCATATGAGCTGTGGTCCAGTGCTCCCGTGGACTGGGACTGTGCCAGGACCCTGAATGGAGCTTCTCTGCTCACTGCTCTCCAGCCCCCCAGAGAGGTGTCCTTAGCTTTCCCATCCTAAAGAACAGAAGGCTCCACAAGAAGGCCCCTGTCCCAGGTCGGCCCCCTGGATTGGACAGAGCTGAGAGTTGACTCAGGTCTTGCAGACTCTGAAGTTCCTGCTGTTTGTGGCACACCAAGGCAGCCTGGCAGCTTGGCCAGGCAGAAGTCACTGAGGGTTTGAGTCATGCAGAGGCTGAGGGCTGAGTCAGTTTGATGGCCTCAGACACTGGGGAAGAAGGCGCTGAGCAGTATTCTGCGCACAGCCACGCATCTCTGGCAAGATCAGATATCAGAGCCACCGGGCCTGTAATGCAATATCCTGTTTGCTTGTTTGGCTCCCGCAGCCACACAGTGCTGTGATAGAATCTGCTATACAAAGTGAGAGACAGGATGAAGGGGTCTTTGCTTGGCCACTCTCATATCGAGTAAATGAAGTGAACGGCAGGCAGGTGGGGGCTCGGAGGTTTTGCTCACCAGTTCCCTTTGCCCTGTTCAGGGGACCTGATACCCTTGGACAAATATTAGACTGGAGTACATGGAATGAGAGGTCCTGGGGGCCTGGTGAGCCAGCCACAGTCCCGTGGGCCCTGCAGTGCCCTCTTTGGCACATGACTGTCCTCCAGGGGTAACCCAGGGACCCAACTCCTGTACAGAGGTCTTCCAAAGCTGCCATGACACAAGGTTTGCATGCACCTGTGAGTGGTGCATGTCGTCTGTTGGCCAGCACCTGGTGACGTGGCCACAGCTAACTGCAGGGGAGGCTGGGAAATACAGGCAACCAGTCAGCACTGGAGGAAGAAAATGGAAGGGAAACTAGGTTTGCAGAAGAGCTGGCCGAGCCCTGCCTACATCTCTGCTGTCTGCGCTCTTTTCCTGGGAGATCTGCTCATCCACCAGCTGGTTACCGAGCACTGGTCCTGATATTGGAGGGAGTCAGTGGTGCCCCAGCTGACCTGTAGGTGTCCTTGAGTTAAAGGGGAAGAATTCAGAAACAAGCAGATAATGAGTTAGGGTAATTATACTTTTTGATAATGGTGTTTTTCAGAGGCCCCGTGTGATGAGAAAGGCAGAGAATGGTAACTGACCAAGGCCAAGGGCATTCACATTTCTTTCTCATGAGCTCGCAAGTAATCCCTGTCTCCCATCTGAGAAAAACCTGCCTGCCTCTTCCACATCTACATGAGTATTAAAATGTTATAGGTCTTATATAGCAGCCAGGGGAAAGGCAAAGCTCCAAAGTGCACAGAACTAGAAGTTATCACTGGAGACCATGCTTCCTGGGGCAGATGCGCACTGCAGCCCTGCTTGGGACGGAAGGACGAGAAACTGCTGCCCCACCCCACAGCCATGATTCCAGAAGCCACTCACCCAGAAGGCAGCCCAGCATCCTTCCCCTGTTGTAGTCAGCACTCCCTGAATACAGAGCTCTGTGTTGGTGTGATGAGTGAGTGACCTGGGGTCGGGGGCAGTTCTGCCTGGAACCATCTAGGTTCAAAAAACATCTTACACGTCATCTACCCCAGCCCAAGGCCATCCTGCAAAGCTTTGAATCCCTCTGCAGCATCGCCTTTCGGTTGGTCACAGAGCCAAGCCTGGACAAGCTCCAGGAACGAGGAATTCATAGTTCCTGAAGCTGCCTATGCCACTTTCTGCAGGTGACACAGGCAGCTCTCCCTCCCTAGTGAAGTGTGCACCTCTCTTTGGTTCTGTGCCTTCCTCTGGGTCAGAACCCAGAACCGCAGGTTGTCTTCCTTAGATACATACAGGGCATTGTGTAATTCATGCTCTAAGTCATGGCTGGAGTGTGGCAGGAATGGGTACCAGGAGCACCCCCAAGACAAGGGCAACAGGGGCCAAGCTGGAAACCCAGGACATGGAGACACCCCGTCAGCACCGCTCTAACAGTCTGTCAGCTGGGGGCCAACCATGTGGTGCAGGGGGTTGAGCCACCACCTTAATGCCAGCTTCCCCTATATAAGCACCAGTTCAAGTTTCACTGTATGTCCAGCTCCTTTGTAATATGTCTGGTAAAGCAGTAGAAGGTGGTGGATAAAAGTGTTGGATAGAAGATCTCTTTCTATAATTCTGCCTTTCAGTTAAATAAAAGATCCCTTTATTTTGAAAATGTGCATCCTGTTGCTATATATCCGGGCTTGTGTGACTCGTCCTTGGACCCCACACACCTGTGACAAACTGAGGGTGTGCCCCTCAGTACTTGGAGAGAACCAGGAGGACCAGGGGCGGGGGGTGGGGCCAGCAAGTGGAAATCACCTATTTGAGCTTTTCTGTCTTCTCTCAGGGATTTTGTGAAGGCCTTCATCCAGTTCAAGAAGCCCATCGTGGTGGCCATCAACGGGCCAGCCCTGGGCCTAGGAGCATCCATTCTGCCCCTCTGTGACATCGTGTGGGCCAGCGAGAAGGCCTGGTTCCAGACGCCCTATGCCACCATCCGCCTCACGCCTGCCGGCTGCTCTTCCTACACCTTCCCCCAGATCCTGGGTGTGGCACTGGTAAGGCCATTGTTCTCCTGTTCTGCATGTGAGCGTGAGCATGGGTCCTGGGCTATCTCTAAGTGCAGGTGTACACAAGGCCAGGGTACTGCTGACCTGGTGGATCTGGCTGTGCTCCCACTGCCTCCTCACAGGAGCTGGGCTGAGGCTGGCCCATCTAGCTGACCTACCTGGTGAGTAGCCAGGCCAAGGAAGATGAAGAGGATGCTCATTTATTGAACAAATTCTGGGCCCGGTTCTCTCCTGAAACACTCCTCACCACCAGCCAGCATGAATATAGGAGCTTCCTATGCTGACTAGGACCCTGACTGTCCTCCATGTGGTTGATCTGCCCCCCTTCCACCTGCAGGGGGTGTCTTCTCCACTCACACATCATGTGGACACCCCTGCCGGAGACTGGGAAATGCACTCTAACCACGTGGAGGGAAGCAGGTGTGGACAGACTCTAGTGCTCACACAGCAGTCTCCACCCCCTGTGGAGTGGTTGTGACTTCACATTACAGGTGGAAAGTTAAGCTCGGGAGGTGACAGGCATCCTGGCCTATTGCCCCTGGGCAGTGTTAGAATGGAGTCCATGGCAAGAGGCAGTCAGATATTGTACCCACAGCAAGTCTGGCTCCAGAGCACACTGTGGGGAACTCCAGGGGACTGCAGCTACAGAGCTGGGAATTTGGGTTTGTCTACCCCGGCAGGGAGCTGTGGTGAGGGCTCAGGTAGTTGCGCCTTTGTCACTCAAATGGAAGAACCGACTGAGTTCCCAGCTCTCAGCTTCAGTCTGGCTCAACTGTGATTGTGGTGGGCATTCGCAGAGTGAATATGGGAGATCTGATTTAATGTCTCTTTCTCTGCTTCTCAAATTAATAAAATAAAGTCAAAACCAAGTAGATCACACATCTTAAGTGCTGAGTTGAGATGCCAGCCCCAGGGAGAAAGTGAGCTGGTCTGTGTTCAAGGTGACCGGGAACCTTCGATGGCTCATAGGCCCTGCCCGGACCCTCAGAGGGCAGCCCCAGCTGTCATCCTCCAAAGGCTGAGCTCGAGACTGGCTGGCTTATCCCCAAGCATAGTGCAGGTCTGAGTCAGGAGCACAGGAGATCTGGACAGTCCCCCATACTCACCAAGGAGGTAGCCAGGCAGGGTCCCTGTTCTAGCCCTTGCTGAGCACCCCCAGTCCTTGCCATGGCCAGCTCTGCCTCTTGGGGAGTGGCCGTGCCTTATCCAGGAAGGGCCCCTAAACTGAATATGGCTTTGGATGTTCCAGGCAGAAGAGAAACAAGTGGCATGACTGGGCAGGGTACCTGGGAGGCCTGTGCATGAACAGCAGTGGGCAAAACTGATACCCGGCAAGGAAGGTGGGCGAGTCAGGGCCAAGGCTGCAGAGGGACCAGGGAAGGCCCCTGAGCCTGACATAAGGGTGGTGCTGGGACTCCAGGCTCTGGCACAGGCTTCGATCAGACCTGCCCACAGTCCACAGGGAACAATCTGTCAGCAGGTGTTGAGGGTCAAGGGAGACGCTGCCACAGAGCTGTCAAGGAAACACATCCAGGCAATAGGTACAGTTGTCATTCCCTCACGCAGAGGCAGAGTACTCCCAAGACCCTGTAGAGAGAGAGATAAGAAATGAGATCCCTTCTGTTTACTATACGTTCTTCCATGCCCGTTTCTGATAATGGCTCCACTGACAACAAGGGCATTGGTGAACACTTGGGGCCTTTACCACCAGTTGCTCTCTGCTCTGAGTACCGTCCCAGTAGCCTGCCCCCTCTGCCAAGGGTCCGAAGCTGGCCTCATCCCTCTCTATGGGGAAGGTCTGGCTTCAGGAGGCTGAATGACTTACCTAATGTTGGGCATCAGGACTGGAGCTCTTCACTGTGGGGTGCTGATTCACCTTCTGCTCACCACCGCCCACTCCCCAAGTCTCCTTATAAGTCCTTGAGCTGGGTTGCCCTGCTTTGTTCTCACTTTAGAAAGAGTGCTGGAGCGACATAGGGTTCAGGAATAGCCAGGAAGTATAAACAAAAGGCTTGCTCTGGGTCCCACATGCATCAAGGTAGACTTGGGTCCCAGTAGCCTGGGGAAAATGTAGCCACCTACCGTTCCTTCATTGAATGTCTGGTCCCAAGAACCTCTGGCGATTCAGCAGTCTGGGCTGATTTCAGGCATCCCCTCTTCTGGGCAGCCACTCAGGAACCCCTTAGGACCCCTGGGCTGCCCTTCACCAATGGCATAGCAAGCAGGCGGGCGCTAAGCCTGGCCACCTAACCTCTTTCCCTTTTGATCTTTGCTGCCATTGTGCTGGGGTCCGGAGCCTCCCCATCTTTTGTGGTCACAAATAAATGTTCAAATTGTCCAGCTTCTCTCAGTCTTCTCTCTTGTTTCGGTCATGGCTGAAATGCCAAGAAAGCTGCAGACGGACACGTGTCCTCTTGCTTGTTGACCAGGTCCATCTCGGCTACTTGTATTGGGTCTGTTCGCTACGTCCCAAGGCTGTGTGATGTTTTAAATATGTGACACACGTTTGTCTCGCAGCATCACATGCCACAGACATTTCTGTAGTCTAGCACAGACAGCTGTCCTCTGGGTCACCAAGACCCACGGTGACAGCCAGAACCAAAAGGGAGCTTTGCATAGGTCTAGAACCCCATGGGTTGGACATCGCAGCACTCCCCCAAGAGTGACCAGCAGACAATGGCAAGGGGAGAAGGGTAGGGAGAAGCTGACGGCTGAATGGTGACTTGGAGGGAGGTGAAGAACCTGTCACGTGGGTGAGATTGATGCCCTGAGTCAGTGTGACTCATTTCTGGACATGTAGCTGGTTACTGCTGTGTGCTAAGCTGGGCCCTGGGGCCACATCTGTGTAGCCCCTGTGGTCCTTGTATGACCTTTATGCAGAAGGAAATTCTTTAGGGAGCAGGGTGCAGGACAGCCCGGGACACAAAGACTGAGAAAGGCTGGGGTAGGGCACACATTGCTGCCTTAATATTATAGTCATCGCTGAGACCTTTGTGGTTGACAGTGGTGGCAACACTTCAGCTGGGTTAGCTTAAGAATTAATAGATGTAATGATCCGCCTAGCTGCGTGTCCGGGAGTAGAGCATCCCTTGGGAGACCAAGGAGTCAACCTGAAGCACACCTGCACCATCACTCCGTTCTCTTCCCTTGTTGCTCTCTTGCCCCATTTCTGCTTTGCTTGTGGACTCGTCTCTGCACAAAGCAGAGATACTTCAGTGGTGGATACCCATTCACCTGCAGCCAGGGAGGGGGAAAAGCCACCCCTCCACACGCGCGCGCACGCACACACACACACACACACACACACACACATACACACATTCACCGTGGACAGGTGCAAGCCACACCGCAGAGCTTTGTCACCCAGGACTGAAATCACTTGCCCTCGGCCCATCCTTTTGGCGGGGCATCAGCAGTGGAGTGTACCCAGGCTGTGGCCTCTACCTTCCTCTTGGGGAGGAAACGTGCACAGACAAAGCCACAGGAATGTGTGGCTCCCTTGAGAATGGAGGAATGGATGCTTGGATAGATGTCTGCAGACGTAGCCATTTTCAAACTATTCTCACAGCTCTTCCAGCCCCAGGCCACCGGGCCTGTCTTGGAGAGCAGGGACAGGTACACACGGCCTGTCCAGGACCGTCTTAAGGGACATGGATGACATTCCAGGCCCGCAGCCCTGCCTCCCCTCTGCTCTTTCAGGCCAACGAGATGCTGTTCTGCGGGCGGAAGCTCACTGCACAGGAGGCATGCAGCCGGGGCCTAGTGTCACAGGTCTTCTGGCCCACCACGTTTAGCCAGGAGGTCATGCTGCGGGTCAAGGAGATGGCATCCTGCAGTGCCGTGGTGAGTTCTGGCATTGCTGGGTGCCTGTCTGACAGATGAGAACAGTGAGGCTCAGAGGGCCTGACTGACCTGCCAGAGCTGTGCAGAGCAACAGGTGAAGGCCCTTTAAATTGGTGCATGTGATTTCTTGGCTTGAGAGTCAAAGGGAGGTGCTGACCGTGGTCTCATTGTTTTCATCCACTCTGCATGGGCGCACCTCTCGAGAGATTTACACCCTGGAGGAGGGGCTGCTTTTAGAAGGAGGTTCTAAGCTCACACAGGGCAGCCCGCATATCTCTGGCTCTCCACAGCTGCTGAGGACAGGGGCATGATAGCATGCAAGAGGACCAGAGAGTGGGCACGCTGACCTGGGATGCTACAAGCCGCCAGGATCTGGCATGACTAACTTTCGCCATCAGATTCTGGCGATTCATCACAGGACAGATCGGAAACGTGCATGCCAGGTGCCAATTTTCCATCTGATAGTGGCTTCAGGCAGACCAGGGGAGGTGAACAGGACGCTGTGCCTGGAGCCCTAGGCCAGCTCCATGGCCCCCGAGCATGCTTTGGGAGCAGAATCCTCGGAGTCTGCCTCAGGGCTTCATGTGCACAAAGCTGGAAGACTCTTGCCTTCCTTTTGCCCTTCACTGTTCATGGACTCCCAAGATGGGGACCTGCTCCCTGGGCACACAGCAGCAGACATAAGGATGCTGAGCGGGAGCTGAAGGCCCATGCATGGCTCCAAGTGCCCAGTCCTGGCCACATGCTATAGCTCATCTCCTTGCCTAGATTCTCCCCTAGTCTTTCAGGAGTTCAGGGTAGTCGACTCATCTCACCTGGCCTGGGACTCTTGGTTTTAGCCCTGGAAATGTCATATCTCAGGAAACGCCGTAGTCCTGGGCAGGTGGGTGTGATTGGTCACTGGAGGCTCAGCTTGCTAGAGTAGCAGGTGGAAATTCTTAAAAGAGGACAGCAGGGGTGAGAGCATGTGGGGTGTTGGACAGCCTTTGGGGTGCTTTACATTACTGAGTTTTGGGCTCTTCATCTAGCGGAGGAAGTATGAATTTACCAACTTATGGGTGGAGTTGCCCTAAGGGGCAACTAATGCATCCTTATCCTAGAGCCTGTTGGCTAGTGGAGATCATAATGGTGTTGATATTATTGCTACGAGTATTTCTCCTGAGTGTGGTGATTATTGCTCACTGCAGTGCTTGTTCCTGGAGTACTCTCACTATTACTCCCTCTATTACTACCTGATGATTAGAATTATTGCTCATTACTTTATGACTGTGATTACTGTGATTATTATTCACAACTCCAGTTACGGCTTTTAGGATCACAAAGAATGTTGTGGTTATTGCTGGTTACTGCAGTGGCTATGACCGTGCCCACCACTGAGCCTGGCAGGGGGGCACTGCTGTCGGGGTGGGCCGCTTGGATCCGTTTCATTTTTCGATCCTGTGTACTTAGTGACCAAGTGTCATTGTTCCTGACAAGAAAATGAGGATCAAGCACCGAGGCTAAAGGAGTGGCTCCCTAAACTTTTTAGACGACTGTTGAGCATGGGGGCTATGACTGCCTCGCCCTTGGGTAAATGAAAGGGCTTTGGAGATCTCGGGGGAGGGTGGGTAGCAGCATGCCGCATGCAGTCCTGGATCCAAGGACTCAAGCCCTGGCTCCCAGCCCATCCAGCTCGTGTGTTTTGCTGCAGGTGTTGGAGGAGTCCAAATGCCTGGTCCGGAGCTTCCTAAAGTCTGTGCTGGAGGATGTGAACGAGAAGGAATGCCTCATGCTCAAGCAGCTGTGGAGCTCTTCCAAGGGCCTGGATTCCCTCTTCAGCTACCTGCAGGACAAAATTTATGAAGTCTGAAGGGCCCTGGGCCGCCTGCCCCAGCACCTGGCAGCACCTGGCTTTCCACTCTGAATTCAGAGCTCCGGTGTCCGCTTCGGCTAAGGAGCTCGGCCCGGTGTCCCTTCATACCTAGAGTTGTGTCTGTGTCTTTGTGTTCTTTGGTTGTTCCACATTGGTTTGAGTTTTGTTTAACAGTGGGAAACACAGCGTGCTTGGCCTCTCCCGTGTCCCCGCCCCCACTGGCCAGAGAACTCCCCAGGGCTGATCTTCCTGGGGGTGGCCAGGTCCCGCTGTTCTTTCCCCACTTGCTGGTCCAGGCAGCGGAAGGCCGCTGGCCTCTTTCTGACTCAGGCTGTGTGTACACAGTGCCTCTGACCGGGGCTGTGGCCGTCAGGGCGCTCTCCCGTCAGTGTGGTTTGGGAGGACGGTGGGGAATCCAGAGTGATGAGCACAACGATGGTTTAGACCCGACTTCAGTCTCCTCTCTGACACAAATCTGTGCAACTCTTAGGGCTTGGTCTCGAAACCCGATGGCGTGATTTACAAACCCAGATATTGTACATTTAGAAAATGTTTTGTTAAATATATATTTTTAAAAACAACATAAGTGGAAATTCTGATAATTTATGTGTATTATATGTAAAGCTAGTTTTACAAAAACATGAACTACTAGGAAAATGTTTTATGTTTTTTTTTCCTTTCTTTACACAGACTTATTTATTTATTTTTGTTTACGTAGGATGACGTCTGTTTCCACAAATCTTACTTCCACACTGCCCTAGACCAAATCCCATACGAGGTGTGTGCCCGCTGGGTGCATTTCAGCAACGAACCCCACAGATGAAAAAGGAAAGGTTTCTGTGGGGAAAAGGAATAGCCGTGCCTCTGACCCTGTGTGTGTAAAGTGGTTCTCCGCTGTAATGCCGTGAACAGCAGTTCTGTAGCCTGGTACTTGGCAGTAGCTGTGCAAGGAGTTTTCCTCTTCTGTCTACCATCCTTAGGGAGGCAAAGAGCTCCCTGATGTACCAGGAAGGCATGAGGAACCCGGTCCCACCCGTGGATGGCACATTGTCTAGAGTGAGACTTTTTTCTTTGGAGGATAGCGCCTGATGTTTGAGGCGATCGCTTTTCCATGTGGGCAGCGGTTTCATGTTTGGGCGTTCAGGGGAGTCGGGGAAGACTTCCTGCTCTGCAGAGCCGCCTGTTAGCAGGTCAGATTTGGGTCCAGAAGCCGGAGGGCCTGCCTGTTTCTTTAGTTGCTTTTCCACAGAGGGAAACAGTGATTGGGGGTGGTCTGCCAGCTGCGGGGACCCCCACCTGGATGGGGAGACCCTCAGATGAGGCCCCTGGGTTTGGTTTTGGCTAAAAATGAGACTGTATGCACCAAGGTTTGAGCAGAGGGATGGAAGAGCTGTGCTCCCTGTGGGGCTTTGACCCATTACGGTGAAGCACGTAGTCTCAGGGTGCTGGGATTTGTTCATTTCCATCACATCCTGAGAAATCCTTTGGTTTTCCCCTTCTCTTTTGCTGTGAGTTGCAAATACTGTGACTGTCTCTCCATCCTTCCATCTCTCTCTCTCATCTGTCCTTACAGGTGACCAGTGCACAGGGACAAACCGCAGTGGAAGGGGGAACTTGTGACCCTGGATTGTGTGTCTACTCTAGAGGTAGAAATGAGGTCCCCCATGGGATGGCCTTGTGCCCCTGCAGAGAGCTGCTCTCCTCCAGGGACCAGCACAGGAACTCCTGTCTTCCATCCTTCTCCTCCAGCCTCTGCCCTCTTGGTCCAGCCACCTGTTTCTGGTAGAGGAGGATGGCATGGAAGTCCTGTGTGCTCTCCGCCATCGTGTGCTTGGGATGCTGCAGGAACTAAGGCTTGGAGTGTAGGGAATTACTGTGGGGAACCACTGGCTTTGGCCCAAATGCCCATTGTCACTTCTCTAATAGGGTGTTGTCTCCTGTCCTGAGGGAGCAGGCACCAGCTACCCCAAAGCCCCTTGGCCCATGCTCTGTGTTCCATGACATAACCTCTTCATTGCTAGGTCCTCTGTTGGGAGAAAGAGTCCTTGGTTTTCTATTCAGTTTGCAAACAAGAGGGAGATAGTTTTGTTCCCCATCTTCACAAACAGTATTGGGGTTCTCAGTGGAACTGACAGGAGATATTTAGAAATTCCTTTTGATCCATAGCTGCCTTCATTTCCCACAGCCAGAGCAGGAGTGTTTTAAGTGCGGTCTGCACCATGAGGTCCTGGCCTGCACACTTTAAGGATCTCCACTGAATTAGGGTAGGAGCGTGAAAGCATTTCTAGGGAGGAGTTCGTGCCACTGCTCTGTCTTTTCGAGGCATAAGGGGTGTTTTTCACATCTGTGTTTTGGAGGTTTGCCTACAGTCAGTTCAGAGAGGGAGCTCTGCCAGTTGGCCCAAAGTTGGTGACATCTGTTTGCAGCAGGACAGACCAAACCACGGAGTGTTTCGCTTTCTGCATAGTTACTTCACAGGTGGGTCAATAAAACCCAGTAATCCAGCACAAAGTGATTGGGGATTAAGTCACAGTTTATCCTCACAGCCTTCTCAAGATAGGGTTTCTCGGACTTTCATTTTATATTTTCCACCCTGGTGCTCTCTCTCCACCCGTGGGCCCCTCGGGCCCCTCTCCGTCCTTCCCTGCTGTCTGCCCCCATCCGCATATCTGCTCCTTCCTCGCGTCCAGTCGGAGCTGGTCTTGGTGGCCCCATCCCTAAGTTCCCTTTGGGTTTGGAAGGACAGCTGCTGTGGGTGGGAGTTGGGGGATTACCTCTTGGGTCCACACCTTCCCCTCCTGTTAGCAGTGCGTTAGACTGTCCCCGTCCACCCCAGCTGCTGAGGAGACCTGGCTCCTGGCTCCCGGAGGTAACAGTCCTGTTCAGGAGGAGTCTTGAGCCCAACTCCTGTTAGGGTGGCCATACTTCCTCATCTTGTGGAAGCCACATCGTGCAGCGGATGAACTCATTTGTCCCTTCCAGCTAATGTTTGTGCACAAAAACCATCGAGATCGCTTGCTAAGAATGACGTTGGGTAATGATCAGAAGGTGGTAAGAGAACTGATTGAAAACCTTGTTCTTGTTTGGTACAAACTCAAACCAGAACATGTTCTCTCTGAAGCATGAAAATAAGTTTTTCTCATAGGAAGCTTCGCTTGAGGATGGAAGAATAATCACAATAGTCCGTGAACAATGCAGCAGTATCTTAGAGTACCCACATTTAACGATAGACTTGACTGAATGTTGAACTGCATTTTCCATCATTAATTGTTGGTTTTAAAAGAACTTTACAACCTTTGAAAAAAACTTTTTAAAAGTTTGTAAATTTTTTTAATTTGAAGTTTAGTTACATTCATGCAATTTTCCAAACTAGTTTCTGTGGAGATTTTTTTTTAACAAAGAAAAACAAATAGAAACATCTGCAGATCTTCCTAAGTGAATATTTAAAATGCAGAATTGCTCTGTTTCTGTACTCAGATACTTAGGTCTGTTGTATATATTAGTCTAGACATTCTCACTAATATACACAGTATTTAAGACTCTAAATGAGATTTCTTAAGTATTTTGTTTTATTCTCTGTAAATGATTTTGTATAATCTTTTAAAATCTACACTTTGCCTTTGTAGATATTTAAGGGAAACCATTTGGGATTGTCTTGCATGTATATTTTTGTTGTAGATAAGTGTGGCTTAGTTCTTTTTGCAAATTTTGGTTGAAATGCTTATAAACTTTAATACAGTATATATTTTCAGAATATAAACTTTTGTATTTCTGTGGTAAGTTAGGATATGCGTTTTAGGCAATCTTTTCCATTATTATCACCCATTCTTTCATAAAATAACATACTGGTTTGGTGCCAATGTTTTTATTATTATTATCATCATCAGAATCTAATGTTCTTAAAGTTGGAGAGAGGAGGCTGATTTTCTTTTCCTTGAAGTAACTGAGTTTGACCTATATGATTTGGAAATGTGTTGAGTTTGTGAATAAGCCTTACCACTAGGATAAGTAAATTCTCCATCCTTTACAACTACCGTGGTAGTTTCAGATCTTCCCATAAATTCTCACTGTGTGGCAGTTGATGGAGTCTGTGAACAGAGCCTTAAGTGAGTTGCAAAAAGTATATAAATAAATAAAATGCAAAAAAAAAGGAAAAAAAATAAAAAGAAAAAAAAAACACTAAAGGGTAATACGGGTTGTTTCTCACATGCAGTGTAAGCCATGGGTGGACTCAACGTAGTCTGCACTCCATGGCTGCCTGGAGAGTTTGGTTGAGTTGATGGCGGCAGGGACCAGATATATACCTTGGTGACTGTCTTTGGCTGGCTGTCAGATTGGACCAAGGAAAGGTTTTTTTTTTTCCTGGACCTACTTGGGCACTGTCCCATGGTTATACGTAGTCATAGGGAGGAATGCTGGTCCATCGTTTTGTTCTGAACAAATGGCAGTTCCTGCTTCTGATCTGGCCATTGCCTGACCCCAGGTTCCATATGGATCACTTGGAAATGTCCGGTCTGGCTAAGGTCAGCACTCCTGGAGATATGTGAGCAGAGTTTACATACGAATCTTACTGTGTAGACAATCGGAAAGTTGGTTTTAGTTACACAATCAGCATTCCCATGTGTCTTCAGTGTCTTATTGATGAACTGTGCATGCCAAGCCATACTAAATTGGAGTTTAGCAGGACGGTAGGCAGACTAGTTACAGAAAACACACACACTTAACAGGTTGGTGATGCCAGGACAGTTTCAGTGGAGCAGAGCTCATGGGCCCATGGTGTCTGGGACCTGATCAAGCCAACTACCATTTGAACTTAATTTTCAAAGCAATTCAATTCATTTGGGTTGATTACTCTTCAATAGTTACCATCAACTTGGTTCTTGTCCTTAACAGCAAGAGCTCTTGAGTCCAGGATTGGAATGTGGCTGCAGTGGTTGGGTTCATATCTAGTAAATGTTTGGAAAGTCAAAAGTTCACAGGCTTTGGGATAAAGATTTGCTCCCCATTATTGCAGTGTGCATGGGAGCCAGGAGAACCCACATATAGTTGGAAGCTTCAGCTCTGGTCCGACACTGATTTGACCTTACTTCGTTGGCCCAACATCTGGCTCAATGGTAGAGCTCATTTAGTTGACTCTGGGAAGTTCAGAGGGTGTATGGAGTTTTCCATCTTGTATTTAATTTGTCCCTGTGCCATTAGTCTCATCTTGAAGTCATTTGCCAATGTCTACATTGACAGGATTGTGAAAATATTGCCTTTCATAAAACCAAGGACCAAAGAATTCCATTATTCCAACAAAGCATGAGTCTCTCGGACTGTGAGCACATCTGAACAGGGATGTGCGTACTCGAGGGATTACAGGAAAGCAGTCACTCCCACTGTCTCATGCTCCCCCTGGCTGACCACGTTGAGAAGGCTCTGGAAGGCGAGTTTCCAAGATTGAAACTCATGATCTCAGGTGGATATTTCTGCTGTATAGTGTTGAGCCTTGATTAAAAAAAATTTTTTTTTGTATTATAAAAAAGCATAGATCTGGCATTTCTGCAGACTATTTGACCGGTGTAGACCATGAGCCTTCAGCATGCGTGTTATAAGTATGTCTACACTGGGTGGTGGGAGCCTGCACTTGCCAGATTTCTCCCTCCTTTTGTTCTTCATGGTCACATTCCGATTCTTGTTTGACCTGAGAAGAGTCCTCTTCCGTTCTCAGGCAGAGTGATGCTCTACTCTCGTTCATGAGGGAAGCATTGATCCACTAACCAATTAAGAGAGATGGTTGCTGAAGGAGTGGCATTCTATTGGTAAGGCTTATTGCCAAACTTCTGATAATGAAGCAGGCTACCAAAAATGTATCCAGCCCACCCTAGGAGTGCTTGGACTGATCAAGGATGTAGCACACACACCAAAACCCACGGAGACCTTTGCAGATTTGGCCACTCTTTTGTTTTTCCAGTTTCTCATGGGAGAGTCTTTCACTAGTTCTAAATATTTGTAAGTATGGGTACTTCATAGAATTCTAAAGCATTCACAGTCTACCCTTTCTCACCATGCTGTAAATATTCACTGAGACTGGGTACAGAACTGAGGGATAATAATCTTCTGATTTATCAAACGCTGGCTGTCTAGAACAAATTGTACAACCTCTTTGTGAATGGTCCTGTAACGTGTATGAACACATTTCTGGGTGCCTTAGAAGTTGTATTTTTCATGTGTGCTAATATGCAGTATTTATACATTGTGAGAAGCTGCTTTGAATAAAAAGGTCAAAACTTTGTCTCCACACTCTTGTGTTTTTGCAGCCTGTGCATGAAGTTTGCAGTCAGATTCTGTGGTTTCTGAACAGAGACTTGTGGGGCCCCTGGGGGTTGAGACATCTGATGTGTTTGGGTCGCCTCCGAGTTCCTGGGGAGTGTGGACATGCGACACTCCCAGGCCAGGCTTTAAACTTCAGTTATTCAGGGAAGCATTCACTGGGCATGGGAGACAACAGCTTGGTTCCGGGGTGGGGGGAGGTGGCTGGGAGGTTAGAATGATGGGCACGGGGTGCTTTTTAGGTGCTTTTTAGGTTAGCATGTACCCCTTCCCTGATATCCCAGAATGCTTCCCTTATCACTGGAGACAAATCCAACTGCACTTGGTCTTGCACAATCCCAGCTGCACCCCTCCATTGTTCCTATTCCCGTGAACCACCTTTCAGCTGTGTGGGTCAGCCAGCTTGGGTGGGCCCTGGACTGTTCCCCTGAGGCCTCTGGCCCTTTTCTGTTGTGAACTGATGTCATTACTTTTGTCATGAAGTTGTTCCTTTTGGGGACGCCCTCCCTTCAAGGTTCCGATCCTCTTAGGTGAGAGGGCAGCGTCCAACCTGGAACATCCTTTGCACTTGGCTTCTCAGGGTCCTTTCAATAGACTGGACTAGGCCTATCATGTGCTCCAAAGCACAAGTATGAAACCTCCTTCTGGTTTTTGTAGGCTTCTAAAGCAGGTTGCTGCTGTTTTTAATCATAATTGATGTCTGTTTGAAGGGCAAAGAGAGAAAGATCCAGTGATTTACTCTCCAGATGCCCATAGCAGTCAGGGTTAGGCCAAGATGAAACCACGGGCCAGGAACTCAGTCCTCTCCCATAGGAATGGCAGGGCCCTAGGTAGCAGAGCTAGGACTTGCACAAAGACACTCCACGAATCCCAGTTAGCAACCACTGTTGTGCCTAATGCCTGCTTGCCAAGCAAGACCTCTTGTCTTGACTGTTTCTTGGCCTGGCTTTGACATGATATCATGGTAAATAGGAGAAAGAAACATAAGGAACAAAGTTCAAAGGGCCGAGATTCACCAGCCACCCATCCATGCCAACAACTCAATGATTACCTGGCATACAGGACGGGCAGTGATGGAGTATAGTCCCCAGAGCAGTGGTCCCTCAGGTCTGCTGAGTAGAACTATCTTCCCTAGCCCTGGATGTTCTTTTATGGGCTTCAGGACCCTTTGTCGCTCTCAGGCATAGTTCCTTACTGACACAAACATTGTCTCCTTTCAAAAGTTGACAATGAACTTGTTGCTGTGGAGCAATCATTGCTTCCAGTTTCATTCCCAATTGAGGCTTCGCTCATTCTCGGTGACTGTCACTGCCTTTTCTTGTTGTGAGAGCAGGAAGGAGCTTACATGGTAAGTACTGTTATTAAATGCACTCTTCTTTGTGTTTGGCTTCATAGAGGTTTACACCTGACTCTTGCATTGGGCTTTTTTTGCAAACGACTTTCCTTACCTCTGTGTCAGGTAAATCCTACATCACCAAATTTTCACTTCCTTTTCAGTCCCTGGGAGTCTGGCGGGCCATCGACACTTTTCCAGTGGAAGTCTACTGGCCCCTTGAGGGGGCAGACAAGGCAGTCAAACCCCCAGGTAACTCTCAAATGGGTCATGAGAAACACTCCTGCATCCTCTATTCAGCACAGGCAGGAGGGTGCATATATATACACACATACATACACATATATACACACATACAGGAGGGTATACACATGTATATACAAGATATACATGAGGTTATCTGCATATATACATGTACAAAATGTTTAAAAAGAGTCATTGGCATATGAACACTTCCCAGTGATTAAATGAGCTTTCCATAAATGCATGAGATGTGTTAGTTATTTTAAAAGATGAGCTTAGATAGATACACAGAGAGAAACATACATACACATACACTAGAGCAGTTGGCACAGCCCTGGAGTCATTGTAGCTTCCATGCACTCAGGGCTGGGACCTGCTGGCCGGGAATATACAGCACAGGGGGTTTGCTGTAAGCACATGCAAATGTGGGCACTGCTGGAGCAGGGCCTAGAGCAGGCTCCCTGCAGGGGTCTCCCTGGGGGGAGCCCCGACTCCTCCATGGAGCTCCCTCTGTGCTGGGTAGCATTTCCTGCTGTAAGGTGCATGTGGCTCAGGAGCAGGAGTGTCATCTTCAGCTATCCGTCCTATCACAGCCCCACCAGAAATTGGGGTTCTGTGGTTTCTAATAAGCCCTGTCTCCGTGCAGCATTCCAACCCGTTCCAGGAAATAAGAAAGCCCATGACATTGGATGGGGAAGGATGGGGTGTGCTCCTGAGCAGGGCAGAGAGCGAGTCCAGAAGTCCAGGATTGCTCACTCTGACCGGACAGGAGTGTGGCTGGCTGAGAGCAAGAACCCAGGAATGGTGTGAGTATTCTGGATGAAGGGTGGGAGGGACTCCTGGACCCTGGGATGGTTTCTCTGCTGTCTTGACCCAGGATGAATAAGAAACTTTGCCAGGGTAAGCAGAAAGTGCCAGGCTGTTTGAGAATTTGTGAGGATCCCTCCTCCAGGACTGCTGACCTGTAGCAAATGTGGCGAGGTTTCATGGAGAGACCAAGGCAGGATTAGGGATTCTTGGGTTTCCATGGAAAGAGCATTGTTGGAAGTCAGGCCACCTTGTATTTGAACCTCTGACTTGGTTTTGCTCATTCTGTCACATAATTCTCTTAATCTCCACAATGACCGCATGCATATCTGTCCAGGTTATAATGAAGCTCGTGTGAACTCAACGCACAAAATGTCCAGGACAGTGATTTGTTTGTAAGTGCCCCCAACATCCACCTTAACGCCCCCCCTTTCCTTTAAAAGTAATAGAAACCTTACTGGGAGATGGGGCAGAGACAACTGGGAGCAAAATCAGAGGCACAGAGCATCTCTGCAACTCAGTTGTTAGGTACCAACATCCAGGTTGGTGTAACTCAAGAATGGCCAGAAGACTCCACTCCCTTGGGACACTGCCCAGCCAGATGGTGACGCCTGGGGTGTAACTTAATAACCTCCCAGATTAAAGAGTTTCAGAATGATTCACGACTGGTGGGTGGTTGGGGTTGGTGGGTTGAGCCACTGTGAACCCAGAAACACAGGCAGAGAAATCGAGCTCTCGGGGGGGATGCCCCATGGCACTGGTGTCAGGGAAAGCCGGTCCTGCTCTTGTGGAACACAGAGCCCTAGACTTTGCCAGCACAGATGGCAAATGAGCTACCTCCAGGTGACCAAGGACCTTTCCTCATGGCACACACACTGCCCCAGGGGCCACCTGCGCAGCAGCCACGCTAGTTTACGCTTTCACTTCCAAAAAAAGACACCTGATCTGCTCTTCTGGCCACTTGGGTGGTGGCAAGCAGGGAGTGATGACAGAAGAGAATATGCAGACGGCATGGCCCAATTCCTGGGAGAACTGAGCTGGTGACGGATGGTGTTTCAGAAGCCTTGCGGTTGCGTCTTTAAGATCTTATCTGCTCTTGGCCGCATTTCCTGTTTGCTTGCAGAGGCTTTTGCTCTTCTGGTCCACTTGCTCAGCATACTCACGGGTCTGGTGTAGCAGGAAGAGCAGAATGCAGGGGACCAACTAGCACGGAGTTGCTCTACCACACCTGTGACGTGGAGTGACAGCACAGTTCCTCCTGGCTGCAGGTTGCTTGCTAGGATTTTTTGTTTGTTTGCTGACTCAAGGATTAAGAGATAACATAGATATGCTATTAAATAATGTGTGCTTACCCAGTTCCTTATTTACAAGGTGTGTGTGTGTTTTTTTTTTAAGTTTACATATTCTTATTGGAAAGTCAGATTTACAGAGGAAGGAGAGACAGAAAGATCTTCCATCCTCTGGTCTACTCCCCATGTGGCCACAATGGCTGGAGCTGAGCTGATCTGAAGCCAAAAGCCAGTAACTTCTTCTGAGTCTCCAACATGGGTACAGGGTCCAAAGTCTTTGAACCAACCTCTACTGCTTTCCCAAATCACACACAGGGAGCTGGATGGGAAGTGGAGCAGCCAGGACACAAACCAGAGTCCATATAGGATCCCGTTGTTTGCAAGGCAAGGATTTAGCCACTTGACCATTGCACCAGGCCCATTTGCTAAGTATTTTTATGTCCAGTCTCCTTTAACACTTTCATTTAATAGGAAAGAAATTGGGCTCAGAGTTCAGGTCAGACTTCCCAAGGATGCACAGTGGCAAGTCCCATATACCCTTCATCTGAATCTACCCATCTTTGACATCTGTTGTGTGTCTGGGCACATAAGGAGGTGAGGGCAGGAGACGAGGGAGAGTCCTCTGCTAGGTTGCAGCGGGTCCTTTGCCCTGGCCATCTCTGGTCCAATGTTTCTTGGTGTGTGTGTTTATCACTCCAGGTCACGAATGTGCCTTTGGCAGAATCCCAAGGTGAAGGGTATTCCCTGCAAACCGTTTCAAAAACCACCCAAAAGCAGCTCTGCCAGGAAAGCAAATGCCCGAATCAGCTTGATTCAAATCGAAACTCCACAGGTCACCAAATTTCCAAACGTGTGCAGTTTTGTGGTGAGTAACAAGCAGCAGCCGGGGCGCTGACTCATCAGGCCGGGGGCCAAGTGTGGCCTGGGCTCTTTCCCACGAGAGCCTTCTGTCAACGGGCACTGCTGCCAAGCCGGCCGTTCTTGGGCTGGCCATTTCCACCGTGTCCAGTGGTCAGTCTGCACTTTGGATGCACGCATGGCTCAGGCCTCATGCACATGTGGCCTTGGAGCATCCGGCTGGTAGCTCAGAACACACTGGGCCTGACATTGACTTATCTTCCTGCTATAAAATAGCGGAGCAGGTTTGTAACCTCTGAGTCACCCACAGTTAGTGGAACCTGTGTTCTCTATTCTAGTTTTGTTTGTTCGTTTGTTTTGGGGGGTTCCAGAGCGAGCCTGACAGTCATTGCAGGAGAGGGTGGGGATCCAAAGTTGGAACTAAGCAAGG